CTGCTGTTAGAGACTGGTGGTGTTAGAAGTCAACTGTTGAACTCTGCTGTAGAAGCCCACTGCCATTCCCTCCTCTAGAGACTGATGGAGAGGCCATATGCAGGGAGAGATTCCAAACTACCACAAAGAGACGCTCAACCATTCCAGCATCCTGACTGATCCCACCTTAGAGCTCTGTTTGACAATGCCCTGGAATATGAGTGAACCATCTTGGAGCTCCCAGGTGATTTTAGCCTCAGTGTTATCTGACTGAAGCTGCATGAGAGGGCCCCTCTAATCCAGCAGAACCACCTAGCTGAGCCCTGTCAACCTGCAGAATTGTGAGTGACCGTAAAATAGTTGGGGTGATTTTTCACACAGTAATTGAAAACCGATTCAGTGTGTCTTTAGGTAAAAGAGATGATATCTCTGGACTCCAAAACTGTCTTCTATAGGCTGAGGTGGATGTATTTGCTGACACTTGAACATAAAAATGCAAAACATTTACCAGCTCTGCTGAATAAGAACTTCTAGTGATGGGGTTGAGGGATTTGTGTCCTCCCTAAGAAAGTGGGCTACATTTTGAAAATTGTAGACCAGTTGACTCTCAGGAATCCCCCTAACGCTAAGTCAGAAAATCTCGGTGTTAGTTCAACATAGCTCTTCTTAAAGGTCATTGACAGAGGACAAGACATCCCAGAAGAAAGGAACTGCCAATCTAGCCTCAACCTGCCCTTCCTGCTTTCTACCCCAAGAAATTCCCTTTTGGATGCTCTGTCCTATTTTCATTCAGCATTTTGTTATTCTGCAGTCAGACTAGTAAAGAAATTTAATCTGTTGTGCTATAACTCTTGACTATCTAATGAGGCCTGGCTTCCTGCTGGGACTCATTAATAATGTCTGCCATGCACAGAAGAAGGAGGAATGGTAATACCTGACCTTCACTTCACCAACTCTGCACCGTACATTCTTCCCAATGTTGTGAAAAATCCTCCACACCTTTGCTCATTCTCTTTGCTATTCTTGAAAGCCTGTCCCCCTTCCCACATTTTCTATCTTTCTCATTTTAAAAAAATGTACCTTGCATACTATATCCCCATGAGGCTGGCTGCCCATTTTACTATATGTAAGTAATCTGTAATCTGTTCCTCTCCTAACTCCCCCCACCCTTCATCTGGCATTAACTTATAGCGTTTAGCACCTTCCCCTGTATAGTCTCATTTTTCTAGTCATTGCTTCCTTATTGGATTGAATTCTTTTCAAGGGGAGGTATTAAGTTTAGTTCCTCCTTTGAGTGGCAGGTGTCCTGGATCCACCCAAAATGGGAGCAGGAGTGTGCAGAACTGGGGAAGGTGCTAAATGCTGATGCTTCCTCTGGCTGTGTCTTAGTTTGAGCTGATAGGCAGAAGGGTGTTGTTTGAAGAGGGAAGGTGTTATGATTGATTGTGATTAGATATGGGGTAGGAACTAGTATCATGGGAAAGGCTGGGATCAGGCCTGTCTCCTGTCCTTTCTGAGGGGTTGCCTTGGAGCACCTGGGGAAAGAGGAGTGGAATCTGGAAGCTGCAGGCGTTGCATGGCACTTAGGGGGCACGCCTGGCTTCTTTAGGGTCCCGGTGCTAAAATGTGAGTTAGGGAGAGGGGGGAGGCTGTGGAGCCAGTAGTGAGCCCTCTCAAAAATAATTCAGGAGGGTTATGGACATGCATGTATGTCCCCTAGAGCCTACATGGGGCTTGCACACAACTCACAGCATCTGCTCTGAGATAGCACAGTGCTTAACATGTAGCAGGCACTCAGTAATGAAGCAAGGAGTTGATGTTGGCAATAATGGTGGGTGGGAAAGGGAATGGGGGTAGGCTCTCCCCACTTCCTCAGCACTAGCCTCACATGACCTTCAGCTCTGCCCTGGGCCCCGCCCCAAGGCTTGGAGATCACAGTATAATTCTGCTGGGTGTTCAGGGCTCTCTGGTACTCATTTTCCAGTCTGGATTCAAGGGTATCACCAAAAGGGAGTATTTCCCCTGTGTAGCAGTTCAAATCCATGAACACAGTGGGTCTATCTCCTGCTCTTCCTCCAGCAGCTGGTGAGTAGAGGGGACAACATGTTCCTCTTCTCCGCCCACTCCCTCACTTACCCTTCCTCCCATCCCTGTGCCTGTCTTTTCCCATGAGAGGACAGGCACCCAGGCAGTCAGGAGGTCACTCTGTTCAGACAGGCTGCTCTGCACCCCTCCTAGCCACAGGCTCCTCTCTCCTTTCTTCCTTTATCTTTCTTCTTTCACAGACCATAACAAACCTGAAGTCTCCCTGAACCTGTCTGTGGTATTTATCTGACTCTATTTTATGATTATTTTTTTCTGTATTTTTAACGTTTGATTTCTTCCTCATTAAAAACAAGAGAAAGTCAGATAGCTTTAGAAACCGGAGAATGTTCAAATAATAACAAACAGCAATCTCCTCTCAACATAATTATTTGCAGGGCCTTTTGTTTAGCCTTTGGGAACTGTTTTCCTGGGGGCATGGGGCCATCAGAAGAGGATACCATATAGCTCTAGAGAGGCTGCATAAAGCTAGACATTTGTGCTGCCATCCCCACTTCTCCCTTTGGATCACAATCTGGGCCCACATTCATGCTCAGCTCAGTAGGACCCAGAAGTTCCTTCTACACTTTGGACTCATTGTGGTCTTCCTCAGAAACCACATTCTCCTGTGGAATCCTTATCTCCATTTCCCAGTGGCCTGTGGCTGTTCTCTTGCCCTCAGGACCTGCAAGTACCTTGAGGCCCTATTCAGCTCACATTTGTCCCTCCCTTGCTGTGTGCTGGGGACTGTTATAAACTTCCAAACCCCTTGTCTCTTTTAACCCACATGTGATATTTCTATTGTACTTTCACCTGGGGGAGGTAAATGATATGATCACCATTTAACAGAGGGAAACAAAGGCTCAGAACACCAAGGTGACATATCTATTGTTGTTTTAGATAAAAGATTTGAACTCAGGTCTATTAAAGTTAAGTCTTAAACTATTCCTGCTAGACCACATTGCATAAACCACAACTAACAATATTTTACACTTCTATAGTGCTTCATAGTTAGAGAAATTTGCTTCCTCCTTTTCCCCAATGTGGCTTTTCACATTCTTGTGAGGTCATGGAAGAGTGCCCCAAGTGAAGGGGGGACACCAAAGAGGGAGCATCTGATTGCTTGGAGGAGTAGGGGGAGGATTCCTGAAGGAAATGACATTTGAGTTGGACTTTGAAGACTGAGCCCGGCCTTCACCACTCAGAGGAGAGCAAGTGGGCCCTTCTGCCCAGGTCAAAAGGGTGTGTTCTGGTGGGTGGACTGGCAGCTGGAAGCCAAAGAAACAGGTTGGGGCCAGATTGTGTTGGGTTTGGAAAGCCACTTGGAGAGATTAGAGCCTGATCCAATGAGGGAGGTGCCCCAGTAAAGGATGACAGCCCAGGGCTGTGCCTTACAACCAGCTCTTAGACAAACCGTAGAATCCAGTAGCCCCAGCTTTAGGCACTTATGTTGGGCTAAAATTCTAAATTCTTTAATTTTAATTGATATCTGGGCCTCCATTCCATTATGGGAACAATTTTAAGAATGTTTGGAACAATTTGGGCATGTGAATCAATTTTCAATTGCAAGTCTTTGAACTCCAAATACAGAATATCTATTTCTGATTAAAATTTAGTGTCCGCTTTGAGATGTCATCAACAAGATACACACTGGATTTAGAATGTGAAGAAATACCATACAAAATAGTTCCTTAATAATTGTTTTAGGTCAACTATATGTTGAAATGATACTATTTTGGACAGATAGGGTTACATAAAAAAAAAATATCGTTCAAATTAGTTTTACCTGTTTGGCTTTTCTTCTGTAAATGTGTCTGCCAGAAAATTAAAAATTCCAGGGCAGGTGGGGATATGGGAAATCCCCGTACCTTTCATTCAATTTTTCTGTCAACTTATGACTACTCTAAAAAAGAATCTAACTTTATAAAACAAGATGTGTAAAATAAATCATTGTGTGATTATCATGTAAAAAAATTTAGCACACACAATTATATGCAGTGTATAATATTTGATAATAATAAATGATCATGTTACAGTTTATGTAAAAGAAGTCCATAGGGCCATTGTATCATGGATTACATTACATCTCTACTTTGGTGGGACAGTGCTAGTCTGAGATCCTAATGTATTCAGTAGGCCCAGAGAGAGCCCAGCCATCTTCCCCTGTAATAGCCCCTCCAGCGACTCCAATGTTGGTGACTGGGGATCCTGCTCTGAGGAACTATCTTTTAAAAAGTTCCCTTTGGTTTTCAGGTGGAGGCTGGGTTAAGGTCATGGGCTTAGAGGCAGCCAGGCTGCTCCTGTCACCTGGTGAGGAAGGAGGCCCAACTTCAGGCTGCAGTGACAGGGGACACTTCCTGAAAGCTGGACAACTCTCAGCATTCCTTTTCAGGGACCCAGGCACCCTCTGAGAGGCCTCTGTCCTGCTGTGCTCCCTAAATGTGAGGTGAGGTGAGAGCTGGGGTGATAGCTGAGCATGGCTAGTAGACCATGAGGGACAGACCCTGGGCAGGGCTCTAGGGGAGTGAGTGTCACTTCGAGGGGCTGCCAGCCCTGTTGGAAGCTCTTCCTGGAGATTAACCCAGAGCCCACTGTGAAGACCGCAGAAATGCCTTCTGGCATGGAAAAGAGCCCAACTTGGCCACCTATTCCTATTGCTCCCGGGACAAGGGCCAGGAGTGAATGGCGAGAGTCTCGGAGTAGTAAGGAGGTATTTTCTTTGTGATCTGCCAATGGTAGCCTGATATGCTACTAATGATATGTGGCTAATTTTTTGTGATGGTTTATACTAAAGGTTCATTGGGGGGGTTTAACAAGTCTGTTTTTGTTTGTTTGTTTGGGGGGAGATGTAGAGAAGATAGGGTAACAAAAGAGTCTTTGGGAGAAGATGGCGGTGCCTGTGGCAGAGACCCTCCCTGCCATCCCAGGGCCCAGCCTACCTTGACTATGTCCTCATTAATGTTTTTGGGGTCTCGGTTCACAAGGTCGATCTCCTTGCAGTGAATGTCCTTGATAATCTGGGCTTCGAGGTCCGTGTGCTCTTCGGTCATCATGGTGAAGCTGGGGGACCCTCGGGAAGAGATCGGAGCCGTGTGGCCGGTGGCGTTGAGAGCACTTGGAGCAGAGAGACCAGTTCAGGGTCCCCAGGGCCTGTGCCCCTGCTGGCTAAATAGGCCCCACCCAGCATGCCGGCTGACAGCTGTCCCACATAACTTCAGCCTGCCTCTCGGTAAAGCCTCCCGTGGCAGGCCTCCAAGCTAAAATTAAGACTGGAGCTCTTCTGGAAAAGAGAGCGCTTCTTAAAGGGGGCTGCCCCTGGGCCCTGGGCCCTGGGCCTTATGCGAGGGAGCCAATGGCCTGGCATTCCCTGCCAGCTGCCAGAGCTGGCATTCTCTGAGCTGGGGTGGGCTTAGCTCTCGCAGGAGCTCCTGGAATTTGCTACTGCCATCAGCACTTGGGCTCCCCTGGAAAACAGTTTCCCAGGAAGGGAGGTGGGCTTGGTCCCAGCTCTGCCTCTTGCCTGCTATGTGACCTTGGACATGCTTCACCTCTCGGGCAACCATATTCCCACCTGTAAAATGGGGATATGATAATAACCGTCAGGACTCTTCCCTCAAGGAAAGGAGGAGGTGGGCTTGTGTAAAGAAGTGGCTTCAATAACTGGAAATGCTCTCTCCTAGGGATTCTCAGGGGATTATTAGCACCTGGCCCTGCTGCTTGGTGCCCTGGAGCAGGTCTGATGGTTTCCAGTTTCTGGGGTCTTTCCTTAGAGGGAGAGGTGATGGACCGTGATTAGGTAGGACTTGTGATGAGATGGGGTGGGGCTTTCCCCTTCCACTGCCTTCTTGATGCGCCAGCCTGTGCGAGGAGGAGGCATGAATCCATGTTAATGCTGCTCTGTGACCCACTCCTAGTGGCGGTTTCTAGGATGGCCATAGGCCCCAGCCACTCCACTGCACCAGTGGGGTGCATCACTTGTAGACACTGGCTCGTTTTCCTGTGCCTGCTTCTAACTCAGCCATCTCTTGAGGCTCTGAGAGTTGAAGGGTAAGAATCCTGAATCTCCAGGGGCAAGGCCCAGTTCATCCATTTATTGTTCACCTACTCCTCCAATCAGGATTGACTAAAAGCTGCAAATAAAAAAGGTGAATTAGGCTCTAGACTTGCTTCAAGCAGCTGCCAATCAAGGGAGACAGACAGGTTTGAAAAGTGATTGTACTTCAGTGGGGCAGGTGCTACCCCTCACAACTATTTCATAATGAGCTTGGCTTTGAATTTCGCTGGAGGCAGTAGCTCATCCTGGAGGCATCAGGGAAGGCCTCTTGTGGGAGGTGACTTTAGAGTTCAATGTTAAAGGCAAGTTGAAGGTCACCACCCAGAATGCTTCGGGTAGTAGGACTGTGGATACCAGAAGTGGAGTGAAGTGGATGGTGAGGGTGTAGGGTGGCTTTAGAGGTGGAAGTGAGACAGAAGACATGACTGGACTCTGACCAGGGCGTGAAGTATCCCAAACATCATGCTAAAGGGTATGGATTTTGCCAGATGTGGTGGTGCATACCTGTGATCCCAGTGACTTGGGAGGCTGAGGCAGGAGGATCTCAAGTTCAAAGCCAGTCTCTGCAAGTTAGCAATACCCTGTCTCAAAATAAAAAGTAATAAGTGCTGGGGATATAGCTCAATAGTAGTGCACTCTTGGGTTCAATCCCTGGCAACACACATACACACACATGCATGTGCGGACACACACACAAACTCTCACTCACACACAAATACGCATGAGTGTGGATTATATTTAGAGGTGTTGGAAAGTCACTGAAGGCTTCAAGGTGGCAGAGGGTCATTATCAGCCTTGTAAAGGAGGAAGCTCATTGGTGGCCAGATGGAAGGTGAATGGGAGCTGGGTAAAGGTTGAGGCAGGAGGCTCATCAAAAAGTTGGAGGCTGTTGGGCTTGGTCAATAGTTGTAAAGATAATAGTGGCTTGAACAAAACAGGGACCTTTCTTTTTCTCTCTCTCATTTAATATGCATAAGCCACTCAAAACTATTTTGGCGGCTCTAGGATGTCATCAGGCATCCATACCCGTATCTTTCTGTCTTAGAGCTTCCTCACAGGCACAAGAGGGCTGCCATCCCTTCCTCTTAAATTTGGGCAAATGTTTGGACTCTGATTCGTAGAGTACAGCAAATCTAATGCTCTGTGACAATCCCGTTTCCAGAGACAATGCTGTGGAGACGGCTTTAAACCAGGAACCATTAAGACTTCCTGACTGTCGCTAACCTGCTCTGGGACCTGGATCAAACTGTGCCCTCTCTGTGCCTCCATGTTCTCACTAGTCAAGCGTGGATGGTAAAACCTGCACCTCATACACATTGGGAAAACCTAGTGGGGCACCAGCAAGCCTATGTTACCTTGGGGAAAATGTGAAGGACATACCAAGAAATGAAACCTCCAAATCAACCCTGGGGTGAAGACTCTAACAAGGGAACAAGAAGAAGGAGACAGACATGATTTTCTGGAAATAGTTTTGTTTCTGAGGTTTTATGGAACACTCTGCATTCTTCCTTTAAAGGCATGTTGTGTTGTTATTGTTGCTTCATTTTGCCAGGCAAGAGAAAGAAAAGAAAATTTTTTAAAGATGGGCTGGATGTGCAGGAAGACATCCATTTGTGGTGTGTGAAAAGCAGAAGTAACAGGAAGGGGAAAGATGATGTGAACCAGTTGTCCAGAGTCACAGCAATGCAGCCTGAAGACTTGGTGAGCTATCCACCCAGAGTTTCCGTTAGCCACCAAGATTATCACACATGCAAAAGATGGTGGAATGAGATGGACATCACTACCCTAAGTACATATTTGACTGTGCATATAGTGCGATGCTACAACATGTACAACCAGAGAAATGAAAAGTTGTGCTGCAATTGTGTACAATGAATCAAGATGTTTTCTGCTATCATATATACCTAATTAAAATGAATAAATTAATTTAAAAAACATTATCATACAGACAGATGCTTCCAAGGCTGGTAAGGTTAGGAAAATTTAACGAAAAAACAAACTTTTTTTTTTTTTTTCTTAAGTTTTTAAGTTCCAGGAGAAGGACTTATATTTACTTCACAAATTGGATTATGGGGTCTGCAGTTAGCAGAAAAATCTCAACAGGCCAGACCTGGAAAAGACCCAGCTTTTCCATTTTACAGATGAAGAAACTGAGGGTCCCAAAAGTCTTGATTGGTAGAAGGGAGAGTTTGGGATTTGGAGACCAATAAACATGCCCCATGCCAGTGAGCAGGCCATGCTCCTCCAAATGTAAGTTGAACTCCTATATATAATGAGTATATGAATATCATCTCCTACTAGCAGAGATTTGGAAAAATGTTTGGAATGATTTTCAAAAACTGACAGTACAAGGCTGGGGTTGTAGCTCAGTGGTAGGAGTGCTTGCCCCATGTTTGTGAGGCACTAGGTTCTATACTCAACACCACATAAAAATAAATAAATAATAAATTAAATAAAGGTATTGTGTTCATCTACAAATCAAACAAATAACAAAAAAGTAGCAGTATACTCTTGAGATATACCAACAGAATAGGTGACTATGATACTCAACTCTATTCTGGTCAGACTATAATTGGAACTCATTTGGGTTCCATAATTTGAGAGATGCTTTGGGAAGCGAGATTCTATCTAAGATGATGCAGGATTTAGAAATGTGTTTTATGAGAGAACAGTTTTGGGTTGGAGAAGAGGTGACAGAAAGGAAGGGATAGAAGAGCTGTTTTCAAGTTTCTGAAGACCAAAAGAGATTTGTTCCGGGTGGTCCTGAGGGTTGGCAAATACATGGTGTGCTCTCACTTGAGTCAACCCAGTGCCAGGCTCCCAATAGCCCCCTTGACAGTGACAGCAGGTAGGATTATATTAAGGATACCAGAAAGAACCAACGCTCAGTTTTCCAGAGATGTAACAGGCTCTTCAGAGAGCAGAGTCTTCCTGGAATTAGATGCATTACTGCAGGGAGTGGAAGGAAGCCAAAGATTGAAAAAAGCAGAGGGCTAAGCCAATTGGAGGGCCAGTCAAGATTTTAGGACTAGGGCAGGTCCCAGGATGAAGCAAAAATACAGGACCCTTGTTAAAGAACTGCAAGATGGCAAAACCAAATGAGGGGCATCTCCTAAGCATGCAACTCCATGAGAAGCTATTCCTGGCTTTAGGCTCTTCAGGCCACATGATTTCTGTTGTGACCCCACTGCTCTGTCCTTACTGAACAGTAGCAGCCACCGACAGTATATAAATGTAGTGGCATGGTTGTATTTCAGTGAGAATTGAAAAAATAAGTGGCAGCCAGATCACAAAATTAACCTTTGAGGCCCAGAGATTGTAGTTTGTAGACCTGTGTAGCATCCTAAGATGTGTCACCTAGGCCACCTCAGGCTACAGTATTGCCCCAGAGCCAAGTCTAGCCAATCTTGGTTTCCTGATTGAGTCACTGCAGGTTTTCAGGGGGAAGAATCTCTCATCCTTGGGTCTTATGTCTCCTTGGGATCCCTTCAGTCCTTCCCCAGCCTTTCCATCAGACAATGACCCCCAATTTTCAATACCCCTCCTAGGACAGTGGCCATAATAGGGCTGCCCAGGTAAGAGAAAAGGGATGTAAACTTTTCTGGTCTCATGGACCAACAGGGAAGACACCCAGTTCAGAAACCGCCCGGCTGGAGTTGGCTCAGGAAAGGGCTGTGTGCATCATGGGTGACAACTCTATCTTATGTTTTCTCTCAGACCTGGGACTGGCCTTGGTCTCAGAGTAGCTGGTTGGAGGCTGGTGTTCAGAGCATCCTTACTAATTCACAGAGAACTGACACTAGCCAGGAGTCTTGCCGGCTGGGATTTCTACAGCTCTCTCTGAGCACAGGGCGGCTGGTCCAGAGACTGATGATGCTCCACAGATGGGACACACTGAGTTGTGAGCCTCTGTTCTCATGAGATACCTCATGTTGCTGCCACCAGGGGTGCAGACGAAAGAAAGAAACCATTTCCCCTCCTTGTTTCTGTCTCTTTAGTTCCTAGAAGGATCTCAGTTGCAGCTCCACAAAGCAGCAGCTCTGATTTCATTCAGCCTGGGCTGCAGAT